TGGTGAGCTATGTACACCAAATTCGTCTTAATGTGCATCTATTCCGTTTCCCTGTACCACTTGTCTCAAGGACATGTTTCCTGTTAGCTGTCAATGTGCATACATATCCATAGAAGGGGAGCCTTCGTGGAATATGTACAGTATGTCAAAGGCATGGAGGCCTAAACAGGTGGACAGCAAGGAGTAGAGCAAGACTTGAACAGGAAACTGTCCAATGGCAATTGCACACAGCTGGCTGCCCGAGTGATGTTATAATTCGGTGGTGTATGGCTAGGTCTGCAAAACACTCAAAGGACTAGGAATTTTCCCACTTGTCATCTCCATAACTTCCTAGAACCAGAATCCCATGTCTGCCAGAGACTGGTTAGCTACATACTATGTGTACATGTCTATCTATATACCTACTATGGCTGGTATGCTATGAACTATAATTTCATGTTCTATAATAATTATGAATCACAGAAGTATATCGGACGGATTAGCTAATAATTCGGCTAGTTAGCTAACTACACACAAAGCATTCATTGCTGTAACCCTAACTCCCCAATTAGTAAAGCTATATGCAAACAGGGGAAAAGGACACGCAATTCTCGGAAAAGGACATTTTCCCCGGGAATAAAAGCAGTACGTGGAAGAAACCGACTGTATTTTGTTTACCGTCGAGCAAAGTGCTCGGTGTTTACAAACTCTGGCCGAGTACAAAACAAATTTTGAAGCTGCTCAAGACTTCCGGTGCAATTCTCGGAATTGTGTATATATCATAGCAATTATTATATAGGATAGGTTTACAGGCTTGGAGAATGGGGGAGTTACTGTGCAGCTAATTTTAGTCCACTCATCATCACTGTACGTATGTGTGTGTGTGTGGCATCTTTACTCTGCCTTCACTGGAAAAAACAGGAGTCACAAAAATATTTTGACCACAGTTGAAAAATTACTGACCCCATCCTAGCTAGAATTCCTGCCCATGACCATGGAAAAAACATTACGGTTCATATGTACATACGTACATATTATATAGATAGTTGATTTCACAAGCAGACTACACTTGTTGTAGTATGGCACACACACACACACTCTGGTGCTAATCACATTATACTTGCTGCGAAGCTGGCTTGTTTGTGCAGCCAGCGCATGTACACCTACGTAGCTGTCTGCACGTGTTTGTGCAGCCAGCCCATGTACACCTACGTAGCTGTCTGCACGAGTTTGTGCAGCCAGCCCATGTACACCTACGTAGCTGTCTGCACGAGTTTTGTGCAGCCAGCCAATGTACACCTACGTAGCTGTCTGCACGAGTTTTGTGCAGCCAGCCCACTCGTTAAGAAGAAATGTGATTAAACCTCAACTATAGAGGTTATTCATGCGCATACGAATCCTGGGAAACTGTGTGTGCAACCATAGTAAGTAGTGTTGTTAATGTGTTTGTTGTACTCTGAAGAACCTGAATATGTGTTGAGAATAGTTGTCTTCCGTTTGGTAGAATAGGTAGGATGGACCACCCGGTCCGACTCTCGCAAAGGCATCCTCACGCATGAACAAGATTCTTTAGAGGTAGAATTAGGAGAGAGAGAGGGAGGGTGAGGGAGGGAGGGAGGGAGAGAGGGAACTGATAAAGAGGACAAACATAATGATACAGAGGTCGTGACCTCGAAACCAGGGCTGTGTACAGTTGACCACATAAGAGAGACCAATGCTGCAATAACACTAAGTTGTCTACTGTGTGGAGCGGCAATCAGATATAAGTACTAGTAGATTAATTTACGTGTAGGCAGAGCGGGTATCTGCTGTCTCGTTTTTATTAATTCTGGGAACGACTTTATACATCAGGCTCATGGAGAGGGTATATATATACTTGACATGGGAGAGCCTGAATGCACAATAAAACCACAATCAATGATTCTTAAGAAACGGACATCTAACTATACATATTCCGTGCATCCATGTACACAAGCTGTTGCTGTTACGGTGCCATTATACCGTCGGTCACTTCCACAAATTTCTCCCTATTTAACCCCAGTAAATTGACCAATAAAAACTGAGTAGCTACGCAAGCAATAACTGTGAAATACTGCTCTATGCATTAGTATATACAGTGTGGTACATATGGACAACCTAATACTTCACCAAGCTACACTATCACGTATGTACATTATATATATACCTCTCCGTGAGGCATTTCTCGCTGGCTGTAGTGAAATCCCACACTAATTGCAGGGACTTCCTCTCCACACCTGTATAATTATAGTACAGTGATATGAAGCTCAACGGGCTTACATATTATTATACACTAAACTTAACAGTGGGAACACACTACCACAGCTTATAATCATACTTACTATCATATAATACTCTCAGTGCATTCTAATATCCGCATTTTGGCCCACTTATGAAGGAAGTAAAAAAGTACACATTAATTTGGATGTTTTTCGTGACTGATTATTCCTAGTATAGGACCACTGTATGTGTATGTACCGGCCGCCTGAAGTTTGATGAACATCTCTTCGAACAAACTCCTCCGATACTCGACGTCACTGTCGTTGGTAGTGATATTGTCCCTGTGGAAGAGAAGATACGTGGAGAGTGTTCAACTATATTCACAGCTGCATGAATATCGGTGCTTGTGACTATATAACAGCCAGGAAATCCCTGTAGTATTAAGTAGCTGGATGGGCCTTCCAGGAGCCAATTTCTAAGTAGTTCCAGGAAAAGTCCCCACCCACACCATTGATAGAATTGGCCACCTACCATCCTACATATTTTATCATAACGCTTTATAGATGATGGTCCAACTCCACACTTTCCACATAACCTGGACATTTCTATGTTGTGGTAGCTATGGATGTTCACACACGGTTGTTGACAAGTCGGCAACAAGTGGGCATTGCGTAACCTCCTACAGATCGACTTCCACCTGTGGTACACAAGTTCTTGTGCATATACATACGTACACACGGGTCATATATCTCCTACAGATACTCCTTAGCCTCAGATTTGCTCAATTTAACCGCCCTTCCCCTCAGCTCCATTCACAACTACTTCCATTCAAAGCCGACACTGCATTAGTAACCCATACAACCCCCATTATATTATGTAGTAAAGGACTTTGATACACACGTGTCTGTATGTCTGCGTGTAGAGTCCGTATGCAGCTCTAGGACATAGCATTCAAAGGTGGTCGGGCGGCGGCTCAGTCCTCCTGCAAAATTCCATATAAGTAGTAAAGGACTTCGATATGCACGTGTCTATATGTAGAGTCTGTATTCAGCTCTAGGACACAGTTATAGTTGTGTTCCATCCCATAATAGCATTCAAAGGTGGTCGGGGGGCTCGGTCCTCCTGCCAAATTCCACCTCGGTGAAACTCAATTCGTGTGACGGCCTTTCAGCCCGGCCATTGAAAAGGTCTTGTGAGACTGGAATTGTAAGACGGGCTAGCTCCCCCACCCCGCACCACCCCCACTTCCACCAAAACCACGGAGAAATGAGGAGAGACCAGCCATTTTGTGGGTTTCGCGGCCGATAGAGAGCGTTGGCAGGCGTGTGTGGAGACAAAAAGGGACATGTTAATTATAGTACCCGCTGCTGGTTTGTGAGGCGTTAGTTTTGTGCTTAGTAAAGGGTCGGCCAATAATATAACCATAATTACTAGCAGAGACAGCTGTGTGTGTAAAACACCTGGGATTACATAATTACTATAAATTTGACAGCTAACACATGAGTTTCCAAAGAAACAGGTGTAGCTACTAGCTATACACATGTTTATCATAGACAAGCTCCAGGAAGAACTGCAGTAGAGGCACAAACAATTGCACAGTACCCATGAATATATTTTAAAGGAGAAATGTATATATTTCATGGCCAATACAGAGTACATGCTCCTAACATGGACCCTACACACACCACTTCTACTTATACCCAGCATCTGTCAATGTCTGCTCAACTTCAAACAGCATCAGATGTCCCCAAAACAGCTGTTTTGAGTCAAACCTCCCAATTTCTCACATACCTCAAGGCGAGAAAGGCGGGGGACGGCTCTACCAGCAGTCCTGTTGTGTTCACCAGGTGCCTCAGTCCCACGATATAGTGGTGGTTTGATTCCAGTCGGACGTTTGGCCATATCATGAGCGTTCGGTTCTTCAGCTGGAGTCGAAACATTAGACACACAACAGCTAGTGACACACACACACACACACACACACACTTCAGTATCTCCTACTGCGAGGAGGATAGCGAGTTGAAGCTGACGTATTTCAAACACATACACACATACCGTGTGCAAAAAAAAAAAGAATGTGGATATATAGCAGTATTTGCCTGGACTCTATGATCTCTCATGATTAGCATGAATTTACATGAATAATTCATACCGCTGGCTAGCAGACAGTGGTGTGTTATGCAAAGAGGAAATGCCAATTAGGAATGTTGCCATCCATAGCAGCCAACCACAGCTGGTATATAGAGTTCCCTTAACAACTACTATAGCAGGCAGTGTACACTTCACTTATACATACATAGGTGGGGGCACTAGACTACCATTCCTGAGCCCAGTTACTGGAAAATGCTAAGTTGGGAAGAACCACTTCATGCCACTGCCTACCCTGTTCCTTTTGAGTGTAGTGAGTGTGTAGGTAGTATTACGATTGCCCATTACTCGAAGAGCTGCCCTGCCAGGCCAGATTCACACTAATGCAAACTGAATCTTACTCGAGAAGAGTGATGTTAGCTGGAAAGAGTACCAGATTATAGTACAGACCCAGCTTGCTTTCCCTCTGCGTTAGTGTTGCTAGGTGCGTTGTTTCCCTTTGCCCATTCTGAGAACTCACTCCTAGAGCAGAGTCCAGCTCAGCAAAGTGGGGCAGCACCTCTCCTGTTTCCCAGTGATGATGGCACGTTACATAACAGAGTTAGAGGATAAGGAATTAGGGGATCTCCCCAAGGAATTCCCTTCACCTGAGTCAAAGTCCATAATAATGGTAGGGCTGGTGATATCGAGGGAGGTCTCCATGTCCCAGTGGTGCGGCAGGCCAGAGTCACTCAGGCCGGGGAAGTAGGTCATGATTGAGGGAAATGGTGAAAACCCATCTACAACCAAAAATATGTGGCCATAACACTGGGTTAGGGAGGGTTTAGGACATGCATGAATGTTGAGAGTTGTTGCAAGTCCATGAGAGCCAATTGAGTGTATTTCACACGTGATCAGTGGCCTCTATTGTCCGTGGGTTCTGTGGCCTTCAGTTCAAGACTGATGAAATTCTTGTAATCCGCTTTGTCATGCAACAAGATGGTAATAGCAGCCCCGCCTACCCTACGCCCACTCAGTACAAGCTCGCTCGCTCGCCTGCGCGCTGTCTCCGCGACCGACCGGCGTCTCCGAGCTCACCCATCGTGTTCCATTCCACAGGATCCACGCCTCGTCCGGTCGAGTCCCTGGGCCACGTCTCCTGCGACATGTTGACGCGCAGTCCTGTCGCCGCGGCCGCGTCTGGTCGCGTGAAAAACGAGTTGGGCCAGGGAAGCTGGCAGTACTCCGGCGTCAGAGGGTCGCATGGTCCGCGCGAGGAACCCTGCGCTGCAAACGCACTCAGTAGAACGAGAAACACGGCCTTCACGTTTGCGGCTACACAACAAGCTGCGGCCATTTTGGCAATTATGACGTCACGAATAATTCTCTCCACATAAAACGTGTATAAATTGGCGAAATGTATAGGTATATACGGTCGGGAACTGTGTGTGTGTGTTGTGATTTGCAGGCGAGACGGAAATTTGGATTCCTGGAAGCTATAAGGTAAGTCCTAGCCGTCTCGCCCACGCCTACCGGGGGTGCACAGCTACAGCAGCATGGCTCCACTCTCTATATGACGCGGGGAGTTGCGATTCAGTCGGGCAAACTCAGCGGTCGTGCAAGAAGAGCAATAGCTAGTCTGTATGAGTTTCGCTGCTCTTCTGGCGTACCGCCGATCATCACAACACTCAAAGTGAGTCTCTACCACGGGCTGAAGCTGGCTAGAAGTCGTAATCGTTGTCACGACTACGGCCTGAACATCTCCGTTCGAAACCAGCTAGCTATATAATTAGCCCCTTTAGAACTGCTATGCGAGGAGATTACGTGCGTCAACGTGGACAGTTTGATAGCATTGAGTGTGTACTGCGACAACCAAAACAGCAACCTTGCAGCTGAGTCTAGCTCGCTGTCGACCTCTCGCCGCGTTCGTCCGCAGACAAGGGACCGATTCGTCCATCATCGTGTCTCTCTTGTGTTCCGTAGGATGCAGCAAAATCAGTACACGGAGTCAGTGGCGCTGCAGGATCCGCTGACGGATTCGGACGGAGACGACTCGAGACCAGAGGACAGAGACAGACAGCAGTACATGTTCATATGGAACCAAACATACGAGGTAGCCACTATGTACGTCCTTTGTGCGTTTGTGTGTGTGGAACTCTGAAAGATAGAGGACATGGCGGCATGCTACTACGACCAAAGGCCTTTCATTTCCCATAACGGAATATGCTCATGCATGATGATGTCATATTATTATCTTTCCCCTGGCGGCTGCACTACGACTCATTTCACCCTCCTCATCCTCTTCCTCTTCCTCCAGAAATGGCACGAGTGTCTTATCACTTTCAACGCCCCGATGCTCACCATCACAGAGTTCGAAGACGAGAAAGTGGAGGTTAGCAAATATAAAACTATTTTGTAAAAAACATTGCCACACACACACACACACACTAGTTAGTGCAGATGTCCAGGCTAAGTACTATTTGGTGGAGGCTGTTGTTACCGTAGGAACAGCCTCCACCAAGTGAACCGTGGTGTACATGCTCTAAATTCAACTCCTTTATGCCGGCTAATTGGCTAAGGGCACTGTTGCCAAGCAATTTGCCAGCACCTTCCGAGTATGATTGCCGCTGGCAGGTCCCGCGGTCACCGCTGCTGTCGTCATAACCACAACGTGTTCCGAACCAATTTTCAACGGAAGCTTGCACTAGACACAGTGTCTCAGTGTCTCAGTAACTCTTTATGTTGGACCGACCGCAGGTGTGTGACTTTTGCACAGACAAGAATCCAGCCGTGTGTTTGCAATAGGCAATACTACAGCTTGTTAATTTAGGAAGTGTGGCAGATGGTTCAATCGCAATTCCAAACCAGTACAGTAGCCAAATAGGAATTGTCCTCCACGAGAGAGAGAGAGAGAAGGTTTGGCGTTCTCCAAGCGTTCTCTTCACTTGAAACAATTTCCCACCTTTCTCCTTTGTTATATTATATGAAACCCGAAAATCTCAAATGTATGGGCATAATGCAGGGCAACCTGTGTCATCCCTATTACTACCGTACTTAGTGATAATATATATATACAACTCTGCCTGAATTGTCGGCTTAGTTTTTAAGGTGTGTGTGTTCTCAGCCATCCCAGTCCCACCAGTCCCAATGCTGATGTTGAGTCTATATAAGCAGGAGCCCCTTGATACCCATTTCCTCCTGGTTTCCTTTTTCCTCCTGCAACTCTAACACTATTCATATTTCCTCCTTCTGAATTTGTATGTCTGCCAGCCACTAACGAAGCCGGTTTTGCATTTGTTGTGTTCTTGTGACGGCTCTTCTCTTCTTACAAAACTGCAGGTCAATGAGCTCCAGTTGCTACACTTGAAACAGAAGTGAGTATTATATAATACGAGATAACCGTTACTTATTGGGTTTATTGACAATGTACAGTGTATTACGTGAGACTTTACCCTCGCAGGTGGTACCACGGCAACATTTCACGGAGAGAAGCAAAGATCATTCTCCAAGATTTCAGAGGCGGAAACGGCTCCTTTCTGGTGCGGAGCAGCGAGAGCTTCTCCGGAAAGTTCGCAATCTCTTTCGTGTGAGTGAATCACATTGCTAAATCTTTTCAACCTTGCCCAAGTGAAAAGTGAAAAGAGTGTCATATTGTTCATTTTCACTATTCCAGGGGGGGTTGTATAGTATGTTTGTGGTTTTGTTGAGGCTTTTCTTGGGAGGAGCAATCTGGTGGGGGCTACTGTGTGTCTGTTGTTTCGACCACTTTTGATGTGGCCCCCATGTGTACTTGATCCTTCGTCTGTCAACAGCTACATGTCGTGGGGCACGTGTGTGTGGGACAGCTGTCCAGTGAGTGTTCTGGAAGTTTCCTCAAAAAGATTATGCCCGTGTCTGCTTTGGCATTGCACGCGGTGGGGATGAAAGGGGCAGTCTTTGATAGCCCAATCACGAGAGAATCAGCAACGATTGCGATATACTGCTCATTCCGCTGGAATTTGTACCTAAACTCCCTGGCAGCTCGCTCCCACGACTGCTGTTTTGAGCCTGGCAAAGCTTTTGATCTTCTGAACTTCCAGCCTGCTTAATATCTCTATATAGGAAAGAGATTAGCAGAGGGGCTACGTAGCTTGTAGTTGCTGGCGAACAGAGGGCATGGCTGCATTTCTGGAGAGTTTGATTATTGAAGAAAAAGTCAAATATTTTTAGTGTGTCTTTGTCTGGCAAACTCCAATAATTGAGACTTGCCCACATGGTGTCCCCTAAATGGTAAATGAGATGTGTCAGTATAATACAATAGGGCCCAGTGCAAGAATGAATTAGGTTTCTGTTTTTTTAGTAGCATTTTCTAAATTCAGCCATTTCGTACTGCCGCATTCCCTTTTGAAACTCCCTCCTTCCCTCCCTCCATCCCTCCAGTCACGAAGGGCACGTGAAGCACGTGGTGGTGGAGTCAAGTACAGACCCTGTCGTGGGCATTCTCTACCACATCACCCCGAAGGGACCGCGATTTCACTCGCTCTACGACCTCATTGAAAAGGCACAGCGGGAGCCCGTCATTAAGAACCACTTGTTTGAGATGGTCCTAGGAAAATGCCCACCCAAGGTGTGTCTCTTAGCATGCTATAGATGGGAGAACATGTATTGAGTATGTGTTACTGTTGTATTATACGGAAGCTTTAGAAGTCTGCTTTAGGAGGAAGTGGGGATGTTTTCATGCAGCCTTGCTGATTTAAGGGGAACAGCATTACCTCATTTGGGAGCCTGTTTAGTATAAGTGTGGGATCAGATAACTTTGTGTGTGTATATGTGTAGGGATCACTTTCATGTTTGCACGCTACTTTCCCCCTCTCTCCCTCTTCCTCCCCTTACCCCTGGTCGTTAGCCCGATATGAGATGGCTACACAGAGGTGTCAAGTCTCTGTCGCAGGCAGAGCAGCTCCTGAAGAGAGATCACCGAGACGGAGCCTTCTTTGTCTACCGCACTAAGTCTGAGCACTCGCCTTACATTGTAGCATTCAGGTGAGTGGGGCGAGTGGAGTATAAGAACCAGTGATTGTACTGTTGTTTCAGAATGGTCTCTTAGTACCTCTTTTCATACGAGTGTGAACCCTGTAATGTGACATGTTTGGCATGGCCGTGCCGGCGCGGCAGGCAGCAAGCTCACTGCACCTGTGCTGCATGGGACAGTCTGTCTGTCTAGTGTTGTACATGTTGTACACTGTCACCCTACCCCGTCTAGTCTCCTCCTAGTCTCCTCCTTTGTGTCTGTGCCCACAGGACTCCGAGGGGGGGTTGTGTCTACATGTATTCCCAGCGTGTTTCCATGTTGTTCACGTTGTTCTCCATGTAACATCATGTAACATCGTGTTGCCATTGGAGAGTAACGAGATGAACCTGAATTAGAGGAAGGCTCTGTCTATACTAGTGCATGTACAGTACCTTTGCCCCCAGCTAGTTCTGTTGGTGTACAAAGGCTGCCCAATTCCAGGAAGAGATGCCCATTCCATCTAGGCACCCTCTCCCTGTATATTATTTGTACACACAGCTTCTCTGTATGTAGCTAATGCAGTAAGTGAACATGATGCCTGCCCTATTAGCTCAGAAAGTGTCTTTCCTGGAAGCAAGCCTAGCTAGCTACCCCTATAACTGCCAGGTAGCATATACAACAAGCCTTGTCCTCTAGCTATCTGTGAACATGGTATACCTATTGTCTATGGGCAGGCTATAATATTGGCAGTAGCTCCTTCAAAAAGGGCATCTATTAGATCCCCAATAACAACTCTTCTCTAAAGATGCCTCACTTATGGAGACTCCTCTGTCAATTAAAGGGCTCCTCCAATACCAGGCTCCACATAGTCACCACTCAGAGTCAGAGAGGAGGAAAAGAGTCTGGGCTGTGTTTTGAAGGAGTGACTGAATTGTTCTGACCCTTGCCTAGGTTGCTGGGCAACCTTTGATTCGGAGCACCTTTGAAGTCTCCCAGGCTATTGGCTTGTGGTGTGTATGGTCACTACTGCCACCACTCACAGAGGAAATATTCGTGTGTGTGAGTGTGTGGTGTGTGTGTGTGCGTGTGCGTGTGCGCGTGTGTGCAAACAGAGTAGCTATCTATTGGTGTTCAGTTTCACCTAATCTGGAAGTGCATACTCTGCCGCATACTCTCTTCAATATCTCCTCAAGTTTAAAAACTCTGCGTGTGTTTTTCCCGGGAAATGTTTGCATTGGCTTATACGGTTGCCCCGCGTGCTCAGCCATGTAATGAACAGCGTCCTCTAACGTACTCTCGTCCACGGAAAAGTACACTCCCTGAGTTTCTATATCCACTATATAGTGTTGTTACAGAGAGACCCTGTGTGTATGCATACAGTGGAGTGCCTTGTTTAGATACACTGAAAGCATTTCTCGGAAGGCTGCCTTGTTTCTTGGAAAGACGTACCCACCAACCTTGGTGATTATTTACCAAAGGTATTCACGGCCAGAACAAATGGGCCAAAACCAGCCAAAGTATGAGCTACAAGTGGTATATACACTATGTATATTGGCTCAATAGTTGTGATAGTTTTACTGATTACTGCTCTCTGGTGTTTCTGAGAAGATAGAGTGTTATCCCTACTTAGCCTGCTGTTCTTGGAAATGTATAAGCTCAGGGCCCCCTCTCTCTCCCTAAGTTGGTGCAGTCCTGGAGAGGTATATCTTCTGGGAAGCTATGAATCTCAGTTGCTGGTGACCTGTATTCATTACCAGGGAAACAGTGGCCAGTGGGCCATGCATGTCAGTCATCACAATGGATGGTAGGGGCCAAGCCAAGCCTTTCAACCAGTGAAGCATTACAAGGCTGGGGAGCTGGCTGCCCTGGTGGGAGTAGTGCAGCTTTTCCTGTGGTTATCTCACACTCCTGCTGTCCCTAGTGTAAACCTAGAGCTTTTCTACGAACCTATTCTTCTAAAAAGTGTGTAAATTTCACCCTCCCCCCTTCCCTCTCTTTCTTCTCTCCTCTCTCCCTCTCCACTCCCTCCCCTCTTCCCACACAGATCAGGTAGTAGCATTCTGCACAATCTAATAGTAGCGACGCCGCGACCCAACGCAGGGTACTCCCTCAACGGACTCAACACTCCCGTACTGTACAAGCTAATCCACTACTTCATGGAGAACCCCATCCACGGAACCACAGTCCTCAAGTACCCCGTAGAGGACAAAGATGTAAGTCTCTGACTCTCCCAAGGATTTCAATTTCAATTTCCAATTAGGATTTGGACCCCAGCATTCTGCACTGAAAATGTGGTTTTTCCTCACAAACCTTCCCCCATGATGCAAAAATGACATGGTAGCCCGAAAATTTAGGATTTGCATACATATGTACCTCCTAATGATGCAAGAATTGTGCACAGTACAGAATAAGAATTTGATGTTGTTGTTGTTTACGTACACACGCAGCCCCTCACAACAAACTGTGCCGTGGCGATAAGGGACCACCACAGGGCAATGCCGGGGAGCGGAGAACATCTCCTCAGTTTCTCGACCGGGTCGCTCATTACCAGCGTTGACACGGGGACGTCGGAGGAGGGCCTGTGGAGAGGCAATCACAGAGGGGACAAGGGGATGCTCCTACCGTCATCACACGTGCGACTCCTCACCAAAGACGAGATGGAGTTTGTGTCCGACTTGGTAAGCCTGCCTCCGTACTGTACTTCCATTGAGCAACGATACTAACCACGTAATATTTTGGTTATTTCACAAGTCTAAATGAGTCTAACTTTTTTGAGCGTACATACTAACTGGTATATATATACTAGTGCTCTGTCTGAATGAAACAGTGCAGTGTATGTTGATATAATAGCAGCTACTGCATGTCACAACTAACTGTAGTGTAGCAAATATGAGTGGTCACGGTATGCACACCACTTTCTAATTCCACCAATTTCCTCCTAGAATCAATGTGAGCCCTATCCCTATTAGTGGCCAGGAATGCCCTCAGCATACTCAGTATATTATATAAAACGGCTCTGGGCACTGATGATTGAAAACACTCAGCATTTCCTCATCTCCCTTCTCTCTCTCTCTCTCCCCCAACTCTCACAGAAAACCAGCCAGCGTTTGGCGGAGTCACAGGCAGCCCAAAAGACACTCAATTTTCGCACACACATTCTCGACATAAAATCAGACTATCGCGTCATTTTTGACTTTTCGCCAGACATGCAGCCGACAACAATCGTGATAGAGCCACTCATAAAGTCCCTCCGCAGCTACCGGCTGGCCTGTCAGACACCTGAAGTAAGTATTATTGTTTTGTGTGGGGCGAGGAGAAGGTTAATAGAGTGCAAACATAGCTGCCTTGCTCACATAGTGACTGGCCTTCTCATTAAAACTATTTGGATGAAATGAAGCATGTCCTGTCCTGTCCTGTCCAATTTTCAACCTATAAAGGTAGCTAATCTGAGAGACAGTTGTAGTAAGTCTTTGGGGACACAGTTTCCTTATTACTGCCGCATATCGAAACCACTCAAATGCAAAAATCCCAAGGCTCCATGACGACAGTTATTATCAGCATTCGCGGGCTCCATGACTACGCATTGGCCACTGCACTTACACAACTTGTTTTCCTTGGCACCGAATCTGCTTCAATTACCGTTTCCTTGTTACTTTCCCACCCCCACCCCCCCTCCCCTCTATCTTTTATCAGGACTTGGAAATGTGGTACCACGTGTTACATGCAGCTCGCTGCCTCCCGAAGTCTGTAGAGGAACTATCGCGTTCATCGCGCTACAGAAGAGGCTGCACTATCTGCTAAACACTGTGTGTCTGTCACATTGTGTATCTGGAGATCAAGTATTATATGTGTATATGTGTCCATTGTCGTCTGTCATTACATCATAGTGATTTGTGTATCCACAGTCCGTTTACTGTCAACTTACAGCTTTTATGATTCATCAATCACGTCAAATTGTGTGTCTTATAACACTTGTGTATAATACATCAGCGTGCACTCTATTATTATGAGCCCTTACATGGGCTATAATTCAAGAAATAAATTTTGATAAATAACGAGCTGCAGCCAGCGATGTAGTAGTCGCAATTCTGTGTGTGGTTTCTGTATGTGCAATGAATCATTCCTGCATAAATTGTGAACTGAAGCTATAATATTATACAGCGCTTACTCGTGTACATAACTCTTGCGTGAGGTAGCCCGGTGAAGAAAGCTATTAAACTCTGCACATCATTGTGAGGATCATCGTCATAATAACACAAGAAATAGCCAACTCCAACTTTGCAACTATATTAGGAAGGAACAGTGTATTGTAATATGTACATTGAACTAGGAGGATGCCTGTGATCCAGTAGTAGAAGCAGTTGCAGCAGCGTTCATCTTCTGGAGAAATCGCAGTAGGTGCATCTGCAGCTGGACCTCCTGAGGGCTATTGGTGACGGAGAATAGCGGAAGGGCACACTGCAGCATTGTGGACTGCTGGTCTGCCACCAGCTGGTCCAGTTCCAGGACGAGGGTCTTGTCCGTCGACCTCATCTCCTCCGCGAGTTTCTTCTCCAGCTCAGCTTTCTCGGTCTCTTGTCGACTCATCACGAGTGGAACTGTGTTCGGCTTGCTCTCGGCAGTGTCCAGCTCCAGCCCGTGTCGTTTCGCCAGCTCCACTTTCCGACCCTTGTGTCTGTTAACCACCTCCATCCTCTTCTTGAGCAGAAGTCTCTCCGTCTCCTTCTGAATGTCCTCGAGCTCTCCCACGATGGCAAAGACGGTCCCGTCCAGCAGTGAGCCGGCCAGCTCTCGTAGCTGGTGTGAGGAGAGTTTCGACATGAGGTTTGACGGAAGTTGCTCGCGAAAGATCTTCAGTTTCCGATAGTACAAGTCGTATTTGTGTCTGTCCTCGGGGGTCAGCTTGCTGGGTCCAAACTCGATCCCCGGTTCCATGCAGTTTTGCTTCATGTGGCCCCCCAAAAATGTCATCACCATTCGGCTCTGTGACAAGGGTGCATTCACAACTGTAAAGCCAGGGAGGAGTAAGAGGAGAGGCAAGGAGATTGGCAAAAGCTATGTAATTGGGATGGTAGGACATTTGAACCCGAGACCTATACACCGCGTAACCTGGCCCAATACCACAGAGCAATTACTTGTAAGCCACAGGTTGGCTTGTACTCCATTTCTGAGAACTTGTAACTGTTCCACCCTTCAAAACACATCGCTGTATTATACCCCCCGATTCCTAGAAATGCTGGCGATGGCAAGCGGAATTGAATAGCTCCTCTCGTCCGGGGTCATGCACACACAAATGCACCTACTCTCTATGGCAGTGGACAAGCACCGGTGTACACACCCGTGATTTCTCGGAAAAAGTGCCTCGGATTTCCTCATAGCAACGAAAGGCTGTCTGAATCGTACGCCACGCCTCTCCACTTCTTCTCTTCCTCTGTTGACCTTTTGACCCTAACAACGTGGGTGTGTGGGTGTCATGTGATCGAACATGGACGTGGCTTTGCGCGAGCATGCATCTAGCGCATGTGATAAGCTAGAAGAACCGGGTCCGGTATGGCTGGTGCACTTCTAACAGTTTTGGGGGCGCTTCTGGTCTCCGCTGGGTACGGATGGGCCTCAGACTGTAACGAAATGTCGCCCATAGTAATCGGTAACTTATGCACTTACACTTGATGGACAAGTTGGGGGAGATGGGGGGGGAGGGGGTGTCACGTAGCTAATCGGTTTGTTGTTGTGCAGTTCCGGGAATTCTCGGGAGCCAGCTCGAGGCCAAGCTGTCCAAGACCAAGCACACGCCTCACTGGTACTGTGCCAAGAACTCTGACTGGTTCACCATGTGGCTCAACGTAAAGGAGCTCCTTCCGGGAGTTGTCGATTGCTTCTCCTACAATGTCATGTGAGACTCAGTATATACTAGTTAACCCAACACGTGGTTCTCTACTTTACCCTCTGGGCGACATACAGGCTGCATTACGACAGTGCCACAGACACCTATCACGACACGGAGGGCGTAGAGACAAGGATACCTGGGTTTGGGAACACCAGCGGTATAGAGTACCTCGATCCTCACGCTGAATACTACGGTGCAACTGTCTACTTTCATCCTATGGTTAGTAGCAGGCCAATAGAAACTTATATTAGTCTACAGAGGTGGTGCAAACTCGTGAGCTTTGAGGGGGCTAATGCAGTGAATAGCAACCATATTGCCTCATAATAATTATTATTAATATACACACTCCTTATTAGTTAGTGGCTAATATGAGGGGCTCTATGGTTTTAGTACTGATATGATGTAATGAGGCAAAATAGAGGTGTGTTATTTTGGTATCTTAATTCTTGGAATTTTCTATATAAGGCAAGAGTTTATGTTAGAGAATTTTGGTTTGAAGCATTATAGATGTGGATGGACAATAGAATAAAATCTTATGCCCAACTAGTTCTCGGAATTTATTTTCTGAATTAACAGGGGTTTTCATACAGTTACAGCATAATTAGCTTGGGGAATGTAATTAATTGACCGCTGATTATTAGTGGTTTACGTATTGGTGAGGTATGAGAGGCTACTACTGTATGTCTGACACTGGCAGGTGCAGCATTTTGTGGACAAAGGCTACGAGAGAGGGAAGACAATTGTCAGTGCACCTTTCGACTGGCGATATGCCCCAAGTGAGTTCAACAAATAACAAATCTATATATTTTTACCGGGGTGGGGCGGGTGGAGCAAGACTAAACAAAAATTTTAAGGAGGGAGTCAATCAACAAGAAACTGAGGCTTAGATAAAATAGCTTTTGTAAGTGTTGATTCGCTTCTTTAAGTTTTTTACTCTTTCTTTATTATTATTGTACAACCTCCCACCGTTTCTCTACAATCAGATTTATTTGAGAAGCAGGGTTACTATGCGGACCTGAAGGCCCTTGTGGAGAAGACGTATGCTAATGGCGGGAACAAGAGGGTGGTGATCGTGGTACACAGTATGGGTGCACCAGTGACTCTCTACTTCCTGACAGAGATCGTAGACCAGGAATGGAAGGACAAGTATCTCAAGGCATTTGTCACTGTGTCTGGCGTCTGGCGCGGCGCTGCAAACGCTCTCAAGGCACCCGTGTCCGGTGAGAACGAGGGGATTGTCATTGACCTGGCAATATGGGCCCGCGCGACGCAAAGAACTTATCCGAGCACCTTTTTTCTTGGTACCTTATCCGTCACCAACGTGGCCCCGGGACCAGGTCATCATAACCACGCCGAAAAGAAACTACAGCGTCTGGGACTATCAGGATCTCTTCAACGACATAGATTTCCCGCGAGGCTACGACATGTTTCTTGACTTTGGGAAACTCACCGGCAGACTGACTCCTCCCAACGTAACGACATTTGTTTACTACGGCTGTGATTACCCCACCCCGGAGAGATTTGTCTACACTGCAGATGAGTTCCCCGATACGGAGCCTGAAGAAATCATGGGTGACGGGGACGGAACTGTCAATATAAACAGCCTGGAGTCGTGCAAGGTGTGGCAGACTCAGATGACCTACAATCTAACCATGATGAAATTTCCCAACGTGGAACACGTGGACGCCATAAAGAACAGTGACGTCATTAAACAAGTGGACGATGTCGTGTGTAACTTGAAAGATTAAACATCTCCCAGATATATTATTTATACAATGTGTGATGTTTGTAATTATCTCTATTTTATCCTCCTCCCCAGTTTCTTATGTTTGGGAGGTGATCGTTCTAGTGTGGCATTTTGAGAGACTGTATATCTGATATCAACTCCAGGGCCATCTCCCGAACCTGAAACAATTTGAACAGGAGTCAAGATGAGGAAAGTAGCTGGTGCGTACTTCTTGGTGTGGTAGATTGGTGAGGTGTTGTAGGAGGGAGAGAGGGACGGCCTCTAGTGCCTGGGCCACGGTGCCGGCATTATCTGGCTCCAGAATCAGCGACTGCAGCAACCTAGTGGGAGCAACAAGTAGAGCCGACAGAATACATCAAGGACTATATATGTGACGAGTTATGTATCAATACATTTGTAGGATGGTGTGAGTGAATAATATCCTACCTCATGATGTGGAGCAGGTTGGCAGAATCCGACTCGTCTGCATACAAGACATAATTTAAAGCAGAAAGATGGCACTTGAATTCACATGGAGATCACTGTATATACCACGCAGCCTCCAGACAAGCGTCCTCATGAGGTCTGGCTTTGACGTGAGGTAGTGTAGCCCACTCTGATTGATGCTGCTCACACACACACACACACACACACACACACACACACACACACTACAATGGTAAACCTAGTCAGCAGTGGCTTGTGTATAATACCTGATGTTGTACAGAGTAACAAGTAGCAATCTGCAAAAAGGGAAAAAGCTGCTCTACAAATGAGAAGTGTATAATGCCTCCTGACCTTTTCAATTTTGAGCTTTATTTGTGCAGATTTGTATGCAAAAAGAAGAAGAAACCAACCACACGTTAATTTTACGAGTTGTTAAACACTTACCACTCGGCTCCAGTAGGAGCTTCAGCCAGTGCAGTGCACAACACGTCAATGAGGGCCTGTCCCTCTTCATTAGTACTGAGAAAGTTTCGTCCATATGCAGACGCCGCAACATCTAAGAAGAAACACAGATATGAACGCTAAATACTTTGAAACACTGAGTTCAGCCTAAAATTATCGGCACAAGCCCTGATTTTACAGTCACACACACACACTTCTCTCTTCTCTCTCTCTCTCTCTCTTTCTCTCCCTCCCTCTCCTCACTCACTGGTGATGGTCCCGCAGAGAGCCAGCACAAACTGAGACTCTAGACTAGTGTCGTTTGGTAGAGTCTCATTTGTGTAGGTGTCCAGATAGCTCTGCAGAGTACTGGCTCCCAGCTGGAGGAGATCCTTCACCTTTGACTGGAAGGGAGGGGGAGGGAGGGAGAGAAGAGGAGTAAGTGGAGGAGAAGGAAAAGAGGGTTAGCAGGAGAGAGAGTGTGTGTTGTGTGTGTGTGACTGTGTGTACCCCACTGAGTATGGAGTGTATGGACTCCTCCTGTCTGGAGACTCTCCACAGAAGAGTGCAGCAGGCAGCTCCCATTGACGTGCAGTAGTCTGCCTGCTGCGACAGCTGCTGCTGAAGATCATTCACTTCACACTGTGACAATGAATTTAAACTCTTCATGTGGCGTATGTTTACAGTATACATCAGAAACCTTTGCAGAAAACTTTTCCTGTGAGTGAGAGACAAGGGGTGGGTGATAAAGCAGCTGCAAAGGGAATACAGGATAAACCTGTTTTTCCTGTTCAAATTCGGCCTTGAGGGACTCATTGCGTCTCCGGAGATGTTCGAGCTCTTTCTCTATTGTCTCTCTCTCCTTCCTCAATGCCCACACCTCTGAGAATAGAGAGAGGATCAACATTTGTGAGTAAAGAGAGAGAGAGAGAGGGAGGAGGGGTGGGGTTCCTAACCTTGCTCTCGCTGGGTGAGAGTGCTGAATGAACCAAGAACATCTGGAGTGAGCAGTTTTGGGAGGAACTCTTTGAGCATCATAGTCTCTGTGGCCAGTTGATCCACGTCAGCCTTGCTCACTCTCACCACAGCACTCTGAACACAGAGCAGAGTAGTGCTGGACTTAGGAAAGGTCACTGCTGCGTGCGTGTGGAACTAGATATATACCTGGGGAAGATGTTTGCTGGATTGAAGTGTCCGAGTAACTGTATTCTCCTTGATTCCACTGGGTGTAGGATGTTGAAGGGATCGACAGCCAGCCATTAGGTCGTCCAAGTTCTGTCTCACCTCTTGCACGAGGGATGTCTATGTACAGTTGGATATTAGCAAGTAGTTTTGCAATGAGCTGATCATGGACTAACGGCTTTCCCTGCCAAAAGGTCAAGTTCGGTAGACATGATGACACGACAGAGACTGCAATAAACAGCTCAGCTCTCTCTTTCTCGATTGAAATTTACCGCCAAACTGTTGTGCGCGCGCCCGGCCCCGGCCGGCGCGGCCTAGCCTAGCGAGCTGTGTACGTACGTACGTACGTACGTACGTGTGTGTGGCGGCGGCGCGGCGCGATCGCGAACGTACAAACAATTACGTAACATTACGCTCACGCAAACATTTTGCGCATGCGCCCGACACGTGGAAACAACATGGCTACCAACAGCAGCAGCACACCTCGTTGGACACCTCCCGCTACTCCTGCCGTATACAGGAGTTTACCGACTCCCATGCAGCAGGCATGCCACCAGGAGCTCGGCATGAAGGCAAGCCAATCATTGATTTCATCACCGTTTTCAATTCCACCATCTCTAAAGTAATGTGTCTCTGTTTAGAGACTGGGTCCTACCACTAGTGCAGAGGAATACGTCTCGAGTTTTCTGGGGTCACGACTGGATCGACGGGAGAAGAAAGCTGTGGAGCAGATGAAGGTACAGATGATATGGCTGGAGCCACCGGGAAAAGGAGGAACCAGGGCTTCTGTCACTAGTGGCTCAGGCCATCAGAGAAAGAGGCTGTCGTCACGACAGAAAAAAGAGTTGGGCCTGTATGAGATCCCTAAAGAGAAACAGAGGTACCGTCTACATTTGTTGGTACTTAAGCCCTCAGTTTATTTCTTTAGGTGGACTGTATAAAATATGTGTGACGAAAGGGAGTAATAGTGATTGGTTGTTTGTAGGTATTCACTGTACCTGCCACTCCATGATCTGTGGAAGAGCTACATGGAGGACCTGCTACAGATGGGGAGCCACAGAGGGTGAGAGAGGGTAGGGTGTGTGTGAGAGGCAAAGAGTTGACTGATATTATGTAACTAACTGCAGAAATCTAGTACAGTCGCAAATGAACCAGAGAGTGACAAAAGCAGATCTCCATGGCTGTCTACTCAGGGGTAACAGAACAGTCACAAACTTAATGAACTCTTTAATGCTCTGTGTCTCTACCCCCCTCTCCCTCCCTTCCTTTTCTGTTGTTCTTTCTTATGCTGGGAACACAGTTGAGAGATCCAAATGTCCATCATACATTGGTACACATGGGATTGTGTTGCAGGAGACTCAGAACACATTCAGACTCATCACTGCCAGCAACAGTCTCAAGAGTAAGTCCCTTTCGTTTTGAATTAAGTCTTTGTGACAATATTTTCGCAGCTGTCCCGAAAGCCAACTCTGTGTTCACCTTTGACCTTGGGAGATACTGTTTCTGTCTCTACGGCAACCACCTGAGATATCGAGCAGGAGAGAGATCGGCCAGGAAATTCAAAGACAAACCAACACTAGACTTGTGAACACTCACACACTATAGCCTTGTTTATCTTTCTCAAGTACATGGTGCAGTTGTTGTGCAACTATTATAATAGGGTTCAATTGATTGCTAACCCTTGGACCTTGACACTGTAGTGTGTACACCGAAAGAATACCACAGTGACGTCAGAGGTCAGCGCGACCTAGTACCTCAATTAACCCGCCAGGAATGAGCTCACTGCGCATGCGCGATCCTCGCGGGTATATAAAGCGGCTCTGCAAACAGCGATATACAGGGGATTTGCGCGAGTTTTGCTGTCAGCTGGAAAAAGAAAAGTAAGCGAGCTCTGGATGGAAGTTTATGTCTAGTGCATCAGTGACGCTGCTGCTTTGTTCTTACATTCACTTTATGACAGGATTCTCAGCAGTGTCTTCATCCGAGTGCTCTGCTCTCATTCTCCCTGAGTCGAGACATCATGTCTATACCCTCCAGTTTGACCCTGGACTCGCTCCCGTCCGGCGTCCGCAGCTTCGTGGACAAGTGGTCGGAGCACTGCACTCCCGAAGGCGTCCACGTCTGCGACGGCTCGGACGAGGAAGACGGAGCCTTGCTCCAGCTACTGGTGGAGAAGGGCTCCATTACTCCACTCTCGAAGCTGGAAGACTGGTGTGTGTACAAACCGCCGGGTACCATGTACCAGAGCACGGATGCCCCTGTTTTTTTTATTATCAGGCATGCTGTAGCAGGCAATCCCCGTGGGGCTGTTCCACTCTAGTGCATTTGCCTCTGTAAACAGTGGTGTCTTATATCTGGGGCACACAGGGTTCAGTGAGCATTGCATTGACCCACATGTCGATCTAGTAGGCAGCATGGTATGTATTGTGACATATAATTATACCTGACCACTGCAATGCACCAATCCAACGTTGCAGCCAATTGAGTGTGCTCCTTACTATATATGTATAACTCCCACCTTTTCCACATTGGCTGGTGTTTTTTGCTGCTTTTGCATGCAGATGCCATAGATTCCATGAAGTTAGAGGGATAATATAACTGTGTATGTGTGTCTCTCTCCAGCTTTCTCTGTCGTACAAAGAAGGCCGACGTGGCGAGGGTGGAGAGGAGGACCTTCATCTGCTCCCCGACGAGGGGCGGGGCTAAACCGACACCCAGCGAGGGCATCAAGTCAAAGTTGGGTCACTGGATGCAGCCGGACGAAATGGACGCCCTGTTGGACAAAGACTTTGCCGGCTGCATGAAAGGTTAGCTCTTGGCAACCCTCGCAAATATTGGTTTGGCTTGTTAGTCACCCCGTCATTAAATTTGCTAATCCCCCAGGTCGTACCATGTACCTCATCCCTTACTGCATGGGTCCCCTGGGCTCAGACATCAGTAAGATTGGTATCCAGCTCACCGACTCGGCCTACGTGGTCGTCTGCATGAGAAAGATGACGAGGATGGGGGCCAGCGTCCTCCAGGCACTCGGGGAAGGGGATTTCGTCCGCTGTCTCCATTCGGTCGGCGTCCCACTGGCTCCTGGTGCCCCCGATAACGACCCCTGGCCCTGTAATCCGGAGAAGATTACCATCGCCCACTTTCCGCAGCGGAGGGAGATCAAGTCGTTTGGCAGCGGGTATGGCGGGAACTCTCTCCTGGGGAAGAAGTGTTTTGCTCTGAGGATTGCGTCCACCATTGCCAGAGACGAGGGCTGGTTGGCCGAGCACATGCTGGTGAGGACACACTCTGAGAGAATGGGGTAGCAGGCACATGTCTGTGGGATATATATGGGTGCGGGGGTAAGGCGGCTTTACATGAGTCAAGGCGTATGTGCAATGTTATTTGTTGCTCTTGCTATAGTTAATCACTAATTCACACAATGTTTCTTTTGTTTTTTGTTTCACTCCCTCCAGATCCTGGGGCTTACCAACCCTCAAGGGGTGAAGAAGTACATCGCAGCTGCCTTCCCGAGCCAGTGCGGCAAGACCAACCTGGCCATGATCACCCCCACTCTCCCCGGCTGGAAGGCCGAACTCATCGGCGACGACATTGCCTGGATGAGGTTCGGTCCCGACGGTCGACTTTGGGCCATCAACCCCGAGAATGGTCTCTTTGGTGTCGCGACTGGCACCAACATGAAGTCCAACCCCAACGCCATGAAAGCCGTCAGTAAGAACACCATCTATACCAACGTCGCACTGACGTCGGACGGAGGCGTGTTCTGGGAGGGGCTTGAGGACGAGACTCCGCCCAAGCTCGGCATTACCTCCTGGCTCGGCGTAGAGGGCTGGGAGAAACTGCCGGCTGCCGAGAAGAAGGCGAACCCCGCCGCGCACCCAAACTCGCGTTTCTGCACCCCCACTGTGCAGTGTCCCAACCTTGACCCCGACTGGGAGAACCCAAGTGGAGTTCCGATCGACGCCATTCTGTTTGGTGGGCGTCGCCCGAAAACAATCCCGCTGGTGTTCGAAACGTTCAGCTGGGAGCACGCGATCTACGTGGGGCTGTGCCTTCGCTCGCAGTCGACGTCCGCAGCCGCCGATCACAAGGGGAAGAAAATCATCCTCAACGATCCGTTTGCCATGAGACCGTTTTTTGGCTACAACTTCTGCCAGTACATGGAGCACTGGCGCGAGATGAAGCAGCGACCCGGTGCCAAACTTCCAAAGGTGTTCCACGTGAACTGGTTCCGCGAGGACGCCGAGGGGCACTTCATCTGGCCCGGGTTCGGCGATAATTGCCGGGTCATCGACTGGATCCTGCGTCGCTGCGACGGGGAAGACATCGCCCAGGAGACACCGCTCGGACTCACCCCGAAGCCAGGCACCATCGACATGGAGGGTCTGGGGCCCGTGGATATGGAGCATCTGTTTGATTTCAGCAAGGCCGACTTGGAGCAGGAGACGGCCGAAATGGAGGTCTACTTTTCCGAGCAGATGCCCGGACAGCTCCCAGACTTCCTCCAACAAGAGCTGCAGAGCTTCAAAGGGCGCATCGCCGCCATGCCGTGACGTTTGCAACCCTGGTACCATTCAGTATACACAGAGAATAGCTTTCCTCATGTGTATAAACTTGAACATTCTCTCTTTGTAGTATTTGTAGCAGTTTATAATGAAACACAAGTGTCCATGAGGAAATTTGTTTATCTGGGGAAAAAACCGTTTGCTAGAACTAAATCTTTGTGTGTCGGTCCATAAGTCATGTGACTCTGCCTGTATGTCATGTGACCTTGACTCTGGCTCTCCTGTGGGTACTAGGGGGCTGATGTGCTGTAGGGACTTCTCTTAGTAGACTGCAGCGGTTTGTATGAGACACTCTGCATGAGAACAGAGAAAGAGACGTAAATCCCAAAAACAGAATTTCGAGGCATTGATTTTTCATGGTCATGACCCTGTGCACTTGTTATCCCTACTCACCCTTCTGGGTAGAATGGCGACCACGTTTGAGAGGCGGACAATTTTCCCGTGTTTGGCCTGACAGGTGAAGTAGCGTTTACCCTTCACCAGCCCATCAGTGTCGCCAACTGTGGGGGGAAGATGTACACTGGTGAGGGTGTGAGCTGGTGAGGGTGTGAACTAGTGAGGGTGTGAGTTGAAAATTACCAGGTTCGTCTAGTTTGACTCCAACGTATACTCGGTTGTCGATAAACTCGCTGTCAATCTTTCCCACGTACTTGACGATGCCCGCGTACTTCTGCGGCTCCAAGTCGAACTCTGACCTCTTCATGGAGACGAGGATCCTCTGGCCCTGTCTGATCTGGGCCGCCAGACCTCTCTCTCCCACTTCCAGCGAGGCCTGCCAGTGCCACCGTCTCCTCCAACCTATACCCATCTTCAATACTCTCTGGAAACAAACATCAAGAATATGACTGAACTGAAGATGGAGGCCAAAATCACAACTATTAAACAATACTTTATTCTGCACCTGTCCTTTCACTGAACTATTATAGAAAGCAGGAATCCCAATACAGCACCACAGTGTACACATATACTCTGCTAATCAGTGCTGCTTTGCAAATAGGATATGTGTTTATTTTCGGAATGGGGGGGACAAGGAAGTGTGTGTGTTGGACTCACCTGCAGTAGCTCCGCCAGCAGTGCACAGCTGGCAGGCACAGCGAGGGTTGGCCTCCGAGTGCAGCACCATCTCCGTCTTGTCCCTGCGTTGCTGGAGCTCCCGCAGCTCCCCGGCCGTGGGCATGTGGAACGAGGTTGACGGCAGGCTCTTCCCCCTTCGTCTGATCGGCGGCAGCTTGGGGGTCATGTGAGACTGAAGAGAGAGAGAAGACGAAAATATTTGCTACTCTAATCCATCATGTTGGACTATTTTGCGCTTTTTCAACACAAGAGCTGGTGTCCATGCAGTTGATGACACACTTACGCTCGCCTGTAGCCTGCGAGTTGTCTTTGCTCCTCTCACTCCCGGAGCCAGTCTGCCTCCACTGCCAGTGCCCAGCAGCAACACCAGGGATGGTGTACGTTCGTAAGATGTGCGGTGGGGGGTGTGCGTGAGGAGATGTGCCGAGAGTGAAGGTGTGAAGGTGGGGAGAAGTGGGAGAGTGGGGAGCCATGTCGGGAGGGACAGACGGAGCACTCACAGGCCTGCACTCGGAGGCAAAATAATCAAGCAATTCTTTGTGGAACACATTATTTACCTTCTGGCTCCTGCCAAGTCGGGATTCTGGGAGGAGCTCAGAGAAAGCTGGGGGTCAAGGTTCATGGTTGCCGCCATGCCCCTGACTCCGCTCACCCCGAGCGTCTGCTGGTATTGTCGGGCGGTCCTCTCGAGGACATCGGCAAGGATGACAGCTCGTCGACTGTCTCTCTCCTCTAACTCCACGAGTCTGGCCCGAGTCTCTGCCAGCTCCTTCTTCCTCCTCTCCACCATGGCCGTCTTGCTCATCAGCAGACCCTTCAGCGTCCGAATCTCTGACTCTCGCCCCTTTCAACTTGTCCTCCAGTCTGCCCCGCCCTCTCTGCCACCTTTCCAGTTCCTATACGGGTCACATGACCACTGCAATTGTGTCATGATGACGTCATATATAAGACCGACCATGTTTCTTTCTCTGGAGTTCTTGAGATGTTTGCGTGAGGTGGCGAGGGCACTGTTCTTCTCGTCCAGACTCTGCGTCAATCTTTTTACCTCCGCCTCTAATGTCGACACCTTTGTGGGTATGTACAAGTGTACAAAGATGAATCGCTATGCCCGAAACATGCAGTTTGTATTAGTTCAACGGAATGTGGTGGTACACACATGATAAGGGCTAAATTTGGAAAGTGATAGAAGCCATAGGAAACAAGAATGCAACTAAGCTTCCGTTTTTTTAATAACAGCTTCTAAAATTAGCCCTTATATTGAAATAGAATGTGAAACCCGAAAATCTCAAATGTATGGGCATAATGCAGGACAACCTGTGTCATCCCTATATACTAAGTACTACCGTACTTAGTGATCCTGCTGGATTTAGCTTTAAACGTATTCATTGCCTTTGTTTCCAGGAGAGGGGTGTGTTCTTGGTAGGTCTTCATTCTGCTCAGTTCGGCGGTGAGTTGGTGTCGCAGTTTGTCAATCGTTGAATCCCTCGCGTCAATGTTGGCCCATGCAGTCTGCCATCATATGTACACATTATATAAGAGGGAGGGAAAGACACAGAGACTGAGCTGGACATTTTCAGAGGCAAAATAAATCAGCAGGAATGACTTCGTGGATAACAAATTCATAGTCCTCAAACTTAATTTTTAGAGACATCCGGAAAACATTCTTTTAGCATTCTTTGTAGGTGAAGATCCGGCAGTTGGGGAAGTTTGACAAAAAAAGTGTGAGTATGTATTATTTAGCATGGGAAAGAGGCAGACTGATTAGGGATAAACAGACCGACCTTGAGTTTGTCGACGACCCTGTGGCTCTGCTTCTGTAGAGTGGACATACTGGAGTCCCTGGCCTCCATTGTTGCTCCTCTCGACTCCACCTCGTCTCTGTGTGTGTGTGTGTGAGATAGTGTGTTGGTGGAAAGAAACACACCCGGTTCACTCTGGCTTACTGGACTTGCTCCAGTTCTAGTTCCAGAGTTCTTAGCTTCTCCTTCACTACATCTGCTTCAGCAACTGAAGAGGGGAAAAGAGAGAGAGAGAGAGAGGTGTACTATATTGTAGTAAGCAGAGGCGGAGAGGCAGAAAGACACATAGAGGAGGTAGAGGGAGAGAAGGCTCACGTTGTGTCTTGAGGTCTTCAATCTCGTGCTCCCTCCCGGTCAGCAGAGCCTGGAGTCTCCCCGACTCCGACTCCTTCTCGTGTATCTCTGCGTTGGCCTCGTCGAGGACGTGGCCCGTCTGCTCCAGCTGCAAGGTGAGCGTCTCTTGCTCCTCGCTCATCAGTCTCAGCTGGTTCTGTAGCTCCCTGTTCTCCTCCTTGTACTGCTCCGTCTCAAACGCCGCCTCCTGCGCCTGCAGAGGTTTCAACACAATACAAGGAGACTCTTCACTACAGACTGTTGGTTAAAAGTAGGGGTACATATATACTTTCTATGAGAGGCTATACACAATAGTACGCTTTGACAAATGAAGGCTTCACCTTTAACCCCTAGCGTTTTCTAAGCATTCAGAAGCACCATAATATGGAAAAGAAAAGTAAAGGTGTGCTTTATATAGAGGCTTATAACGTGGTTGAAGATTCACACGATGGTGTACGGAACCTGTCTGTAGGCCTGGTTGATGAGATCAATCTGTGGGTGGGTGTGGCCAGTCTGTAAGGCAGCCGTGTCCCTCTGGATGTCTCCCGTGTACTTGTTCAACTGGTATCTCCCCAGTTTATCACTGTACAGCTCCAGCCACTCTGACTGTAGTAGAGAGAGGAGAGCTGAACCACGGGATAGAAGAAAGTGTCAATTATTAAGTGTCCTTGCATATTTCAATATGCATGCAATAACTCTTCCTGGAGGAACGAAAGTGTCCTCATTAGAGAGGTGCCCTCATTTCAAGAGTGTCCTCAGCTGAGATTTGACATAATATTAATACGTACGTCAGAGGTATCTTGGTTGCGGTAGAGACGAAGAATCAGCTCTTTCCCGAGAGCGTAAAAGTCAGCAGTACGGAGCCTGTCCATCTGGGGCCACTTGGTCAAAGTACTGTAGCATGGTTGAATGGTCTTCCTCTGCCAGTAGAGCCAACTGCTCCACCTGGAACAACTGAGGTGTGTGTGTGTGTGAGCAGAGAGAGAGAGAGAGAGATAGTTGTTTTGTGAGGGGCAACAGAAACATTTTTTGATGCGTACGTAAAAATTGTGAGTCACAGAACCACAGCAATGGTTTTGCTAGGCGGCGTATTTAATACTCATTAGAGACCGACTTATATGTAGTCGAGGTTTTCTCAATGCAAATGACATCCCTTGCTGAGACCTGATGCATCATAGTACAATACAGTAGCAATGTGTGCGATGTCTAGTCACAACACTTACAGCAATGAACTCCTCACGAGTGACGAAGCCACGCCCCTCGGTATCGGCACTCTGGTAAAGACCCTGAATATTCTCCTCAAACGGATCTACCCCTTCCTCAACCAGGTCCCTGCCCAATTAAAACAATTCCCACTAATTAGAAGTAAGATTCGGGTTCAGTCAGTAATGTGGCAGTGCATAATAGGGCCCAGTGCAAGAATGTAATTAGGTTATCCTTTACATGCTGCCACCCGAGAAGTAAAAATTATCAACAGTATAAACTTAATAGTAGGGGCAATGTTAAAGCTCACAAAGAGTTGCCCTGATTACAGTGGTGGTCTTACTGAAACTGTCCAGTCTGCTTGTTGTATGAGAGAACTCTGTGTCCACTGGGTGTGGCCATCCTCACATTATAATCCTACATACATACAATGGCAACAGAAATCTCAGTCAGTGTAGCTCAATACTATGTATATACTGTATATATACCTCAGAAGAAGGCCTGTCGTGGTAGAGCGACGAAATGATGTCGCCGGCCTGGGCCGCAAACTCCGCGTAGGGTACGAGACCGGAACGGTCTGCAGTCACCATTTCCTGCAGCGCGACCAGTTCCGCTGGCTCCAGCTGTAGATTTAGCTCAGGGGACTGGATCTATCTGAACGGAGAGGAAACCAAACAGTTTGCTGATATTATGGATACATGTTTTCCTGCATTGCTAGAGATTTTCGAGTCTGCAATTCCATAACAATAAGAATTGTGCTTTGGAGGTTGATTTTATCCCAACTTTCATGGATGTGTCTCGAATTATCGTACCTCCCAGAAAGTAGTGGAGTCTACGGTACCGTTCCCTTCAGGGTCAAAAGGAAGAAAGGCGGAAATGAGGATCTCCTCCAGTTGACGGTTGTGGCCTCCTTTGCTCTTTGTTCCCCGTTTTCTCGATCTTGGGCTGCCCTTGATGCCTTCCTCCCGAGGCGTCTTCGACTTCTTCCGTTTCTTCTCCGCTTTCTTCTTGTCTTTTTCCTTCCTCTCTTTGGGAGTTGACTCAGATTCTTGGGGTTCTTCAGTTACAGCTGGGTGGGCCACGTCAACCTTGTCTCCTTCGTCTCTCTCATTGCTTGCTCCCTCTGTCCCTGCACCTCCATCACCACCTCCTTCTTCCTTCCCCTTGCCGTTTTCAGCTGCGTCTCTCTCGACAGTGTCCCGCTTTTCAACTGGCTCTGGCTCTTTTTCCTTACTCTCTTTTGTCGCTCCGTCTCCCTCTCCTTCCACCGCAGCTCCAGTCTCAATCAAGACAGCGGGATCTGTCCTTTCTTCTACCTCGGTCCTCTCGCGAGGAGTCTCCCCATCCTGAGATTCCGGCGGCTGCAGTTTGGTGAAAGAAACTCGTCCATTCGGCCCGGGAACGGTGCATGCAACAAACCTGGTCTGCAGACAGTTGCTGAGGCTGAGCTTCAGCTTCTGTCGGCTGCGTAACAGTTTCTTCTGATGTTTCACCATCCATTTTCAGCAAAACTTTGTCTTCCAGCCCCACCCACTTGTGTGACGTTTCCATGGTAACATTTGCGCATGCGCACTAAATTTTTGCCACGCCTATTTAGTATCGTCATACGTCATGGGATCCACCGATTGAGCAGGAGACTGTGCACAAACCGGCCTACAGCTCTTTCTTTGTACCTTCCCGGCTCCTCTTCCGCCCCAAACAGGTCTTTGGCAGTGGGACTGGTCAGGCCACTCCCTGGCACACGCTCTTCTATTCCAGTCGCCGTGTGGATTTCCAGTGTTACATACGACGGACGGAGGGTTAGTGCGAGCCGGGCGGTGGGTCGAAAACCCAGCTCCCCTAGCCCACTAACTCTATACTGTGGGCCTGGAAGCTTTTGTATAGACGTCTGTGCGCGTGTGCTTAGTAAACCGTTAGCTGTCAAGATACGTAGATACGTAGCATACACCGTATTATGTTCACGTCGCCATATATTGTCTCGTCTCCCCTCAGGCGTCCTACTTGCGACACTAGCATGAGCAGGTGGTCTTGAGATCTGTCTTTGAGAAGAATTCAGCAAGCATGGCAGCTGGAGCTAGGTACCAGTTTGATGCACGTGTGTTTTCAATTTCTTGAACTACAACTCTTCCCCATACAGCGAGTACAGTTGTCCAAATTTCGCTCAAATGAATCTCAGAGGTATTATAAGTCGTTCCAATGGTTATATTATGTATAGCTATACACTGAAAAATGCTAAAGGTTTGTGAATGTGGTAGGGGTGGGGTTTATTTATCTAGTGCACAAGTTGTGCGCAGTGTTCTGTTGTATGTAGTTTGAGTGGTGGCGACTGTCGTACATCAGTAAAAAATGTGCAAGTTTTGTAGATTTTGTTGTTTGTGCATTTCTTGTGTGTGTGTGCAGTGATCAAGGCCAAGTTTGAAGGATCGGGAAAGTTGTTCTGTAAGTCCGACACCTTTCTGTTCCATCATTAGCATCACCACTTCCTCTCTCTCCTCCTCTCTCTTGTCTGCAGTGTCACGAACCAGTCCATTCTGCGAGGTGGTGATTGACGGACAGAAAGAAGCGTCGCTGAGAACTGAGACACTGCGCAAGACTGCTACACCTCAGTGGGATGACGAATTCACTGTGTTAGCTCCACACTCTCCTCTCTTTCTCTCTTTCTCGCACCCTCTTAGCGTGCTGTCTTTCTCCCCCCCTCCCTCCACTCACTTACCAGCCTCCATGTTCACGCATAATGCACTGCATTTGATGCTCCGAGTGTCGAGTCCTTATGGAGAATGCCTTGCACTTGTTAACACTCACTTTGTGTGCGGACATGACAAGCTTGACCCTTTCAGTAGCGTTCCAGATATATATCAGGACTCCAGGGTTCTCTCTTTTACTGATCTCTCTCTCTGTGTGTGTGTGTCTCTCTCTCCTCCCTCCCTCCCTCCCTACCTACAGATTGGTGACCCCCTCCTCAAAGCTCCAGTTTCTAGTCTACAGTCAGAGCATGATGAGAAACTCACTACTTGGTACTGCAAACCTGGAAGTCAATGACATCATCCATCAACACGGAGCCAGTGGTGAGCCCTGCCATCTGTTTATAGAGCACATTATATGCAATTTTCCAGAATTATCTTTTTATAGAGCATATGTAGTTCTTGAAACTGAAGCAATTTTCCGGAATTAAGATGCTTGACAATTATGACTTGGATGGATTTACTGTTAAGGAATGCTTAGTTGTATATACTACTACCCATTGTGCTTGTATATAGTGGGAGTATTTTTACGATTCACAAGTAGTCATTGACATGTGAACTGGTTTGAGAAGGAAATGAAGCCAATGTTGCTAATCATTTGATTTTCAAAGATTCGACGGTGTTTTGCTCTCTGTTTTTCTCTCACCCACCAACAGTGCATAATGTGACCAAGACATTGTCACTGTATAGAGACAAGGGCTCCCTGGCCGGAACCATCTCTGTGGAATTCAACGATCTTTGTTTTGAGTTGACGGACGAAGAGAGGGCTGCAATTGGAGGGAGTGCACTTCGTGACTCCAACACACCGACAAACGAGGCGGCAAATCACACTCCGAACAATGTGGGCGGGGCTAGTGTCGCAGCCGTGAGCGGAATAACCAATCAGATGGAGGGACTGAGTGTCGTCGGGCGGTTGCCCGAGCAACAGAATCCGAGCCCCGCCCCCCAAGTTGAGCGGGAGTCTGGGACGCAGGGGAGGAGCGAGGGGACGACGACGGCAGCGATGGTTGGAGGAGGAGCGAGTCTGCTGGTCACTGGGTCTAGAGTCGATGGCTCGTCATCACTGGCACCCCCGTCAGCTACAACAGCTGCCCCTTCTCCCTCCTCTGTAAGTGAACGTTGTATTCAGTGGAACCCCCTGTCTCTAAGGACACCCTGAAATGAGGTTTCTCAATAACAGCTCTTGCATGCAATTTAAAAGGGACTCCTCCCTAATGTGAACACCTTCTCCTGTCCCATTGGTGTCTGGATTAGAGGGGTTCTATGTGTGTGCGTGTGTGTCAGTGCTGGACAGCCCCAGTTTGGACTTCAAAGCATCAACCAAAAGCCTTCCAAACTCTGTATTGTGTATACTGTATGCCCCAATGTACTGTGGCATGAAAGAGCACATCTTTGTGGCATGTCGCCACTTCCTGTAGACGACTGCTCCCCAGCCCACTGTTCCAGCCACTGGCAATTCCCGAGCTCCTCCCTCCACCTCTTCTGCCCCCTCCTCCTCTCCCTCTACCACCTCGCCTGCTCCTCCTACCTCCGCCCAGCCTCCTCCTCCTCCCGTCTCTCCCCACCCGGCTCTGCCCCAGACCACACCCACATACAACCCCCAGCAACAGCAGTCTACTGCCTCTCATCCTCCACAAAGGCCAGAGCAACCAGGTACTGTACTGTACATCTATAATCACATACACACACACGTATGCTCTGCATAATGTTTATGCTCCATCTCCCAAATTCATATTTGAGCTACACTCTATTTTTCTTTGTACAGCTGCATATCAACCACCGGCACTTCCAGTTGGGTAAGATATCAAAGAATTATTTGAGAGCAAAAAATTTTACCTTTGATTTTTTGTTTTGTGTAGATGGGAGGAGAGGGTAGATCCACATGGTCGTCGTTACTATGTCGACCACAACAGTCGCATGACGACGTGGGACAGACCGGAGCCCCTGCCTGCAGGGTGAGATGTCATGTGACATTCACATGACTTCCACCTGGTTCCAGTATCAGCACATGACCACCATGTGTCGGCATTGTTCTAATGGGTTTCACCCTACATGTACATGATGTCCGGTTTGGCTCCACCCCCCACTGTTTGCATAGTTTCATTCACTGTTGAATTTTTGGTCCCCTAACTCTCACTGAATTCACCCCCCCACTGTTTGTTCTGTGTTTGACTGGGTTTGACCCCTACCCCCTAATGTTTGAATGGTTTGGTCCCACATGTACCCCGTACCCCTAATGTTTGAATGGTTTGGTCACATATGTACCCCTACCCCCTAATGTTTGAATGGTTTGGTCCCACATGTGCCCCTACCCCCTAATGTTTGAATGCTTTGGTCCCACATGAACCCCTACCCCCTACTGTGTAAATGGTACCACTATTTGTTGAATGGTTTGGTCCCCCACCCCCCTCCAGTTGGGAGCGAAGACGGGACCAGAGAGGACGAGTGTACTACGTGGACCACAACACGCGGACCACGACGTGGCAGAAACCAACGATGGAGAATGTCCGTACCTTCCAGCAGTGGCAGCAACAAGAATCCCGTACCTTGCAGGTGTGTATAAACAGCACTATCATCTCACCCAGTAAAATAATAAATTGAACACTATGGCATTTAACTCTGAACACTGACATTGGTAGAAAACCATAATCGTGATCGTAGTAAAGTATACACTTGCAGTGCTGAGTGTGAGCTGAAAATTTCTGCAGGATGTTACAGTTGTTTGTTGTCTGTGTGTGTGCAGGAGAGGAACCAGCAGATGCAGCAGAGGTTCCTGTACCCAGGGCAGAATCCTGCCCCGGCCGCCGAGACAACGGGGGACGATGGTCTGGGACCACTTGGTGACGGTTGGGGTGAGTGTGGGGAAGAGGGAGGGTCTGTTAGATGAGATTTAAACCCTCTCTCTCTCTCTCTCTCTCTCCAGAGAAGCGAATGCTGCCGAACCAGAGGGTGTACTTTGTGAACCATAAGAGCAAGACGACGCAGTGGGAGGACCCGCGGCTGTCAATGGCCGAGCAGCTGCCGCTCCCTCTTGGCTGGGAGATGAGGTACACCGAGCAGGGAGTCAAGTACTTTGTCGACCACAACACACGGACAACAACCTTCCAAGGTGCATAACATAGTCACGTACATACATACGGTAGTACATAATGTGAACTTCCTGCACCGTATCCATGTAGAAACCGTTGACTTAGCTTCACCCTATATAGACATACAGACATAGCGTACTGTGCATCCCGGATCTGAATCAATATACATTGTCAAAGAATCCTTTCATTGTGGGTTTCTACCGTACTATCCTGATTACGTAACTCCCAATTGCCACAGATCCCAGAAAGCCGGACGGGGCAGCCTCGGGACCAAAGGGACTCTACGGAGTGCCTCTCGCATACGAGAGGGGATTTCGCTGGAAAGTCGGCCATTTCAGAAACCTCTGTGCTGTGAGTGAACCTCCCCTGAAACCGCCATTCAGTGACTTCTCTTTGTCTTCTTCCCTCACAGTCGAATGCTCTCAGCCAACACATCAAGATCAGCGTGTCCAGAGAAACCATTTTTGAAGACTCGTTCTCTCAAGTGAGGCTCCATTCCCCCATTCTCCCGTTCCAATTCCCTCATTCTTGCCTCATTCTGACCTTCATTTCACCATTTTCAGATTTCTGACTCCAATTTCCTCATTCCAATCCTATTCCTCAATCCCCTTCCCTCATTCCTACATACAGTACATATTTCAGGTCACTGGTAATACAATCTCATTCCCCCGTTCCCAGATAATGCGGTTCCAGTCTCAGGACCTGCGGAGAAGACTGTACATAGTGTTCCGAGGAGAGGAGGGGCTGGACTACGGTGGCCCCGCCCGGGAGTGGTTCTTCCAGCTGTCCCACCAGATGCTCAACCCCATGTACTGCCTGTTTGAGTACGCCGGCGAGAACAACTACATGTTGCAGATAAACCCCGCCTCCTCTGTCAACCCTGAGCACCTCACCTACTTCAGATTCGTGGGCCGTGTTATAGCTATGGTGAGGAGACTCTCTTTATCTTATTTCTTTCTTTTAACAACTCCAACTTGATTGTTTATGACATCCTCTTTATTTGTTTTTTTCTCTCTTTTTAGGCAGCTTTATTGTGCATGAATACCGGAGAACTAAAAACATTCGCCTAGTTTTGTGAAAGAAAGTGTTTCCCATCTTTCTGCTATAATATATGTATTCCCTGCAGGCTCTCTACCACGGGAAGTTCATTAGACAACAGTTTCAGCATGCCGTTCTACAAGCAGATGTTGGGGAAGAAGCTGACCATACAGGACCTGGAGAGCATCGATCCCGAGTTCTACAACTCTCTAATGTGGATCAAGTAAGCCTCCAGCCACACCCCTTCTAGCTGAGTAGATACAATACTAGCAAGAACCCTAGCTAGCTAGTGAGTATAGTCGTTGTTAACTTTCAATTTCATCTTCTCCCTTCCCCTCGCCCACTGCTGCTGTGTACAAATAACAGAGAGAACAACATTGAGGAATGTGGACTGGAGATGTTTTTCTCTGTGGACCAGGAGACGCTGGGAGTACTGTCCAATCATGAGCTCACCCCTGGAGGCGAGGACAAGGCCGTGACGGAGGAGAACAAGGAGGAATACGTCGAGTGAGTTTATTGGAATACGTCGAGTGAGTCAATTAGTTACTAAATGAGGACATTGCATATGGGGAGAAGTGTGTACGTATGTCAATTATATAAGTGGAAATATCGGGACATTAGATTTGGCATTTTGCCTCAAAAAATAGTTAAATTGAAGCTACATATACGGTACTTGATGCAAAAAGCAAGCACATGTCAAGCAGTCCAACACTCTTTTCAGAGAGGAAAGAACTGCATTTGGTAGGACTGACTAGCGAGCTAGCGAGGGAGGTAACGATCAGTGTGCAATGAGCTAGAACTGTCCTCTCCCACAGGATGATGACTCAGTGGCGGTTCAAACGAGGGGTGGAGGAACAGACGAAGGCCTTCCTGGACGGTTTCAACGAAGTGGTCCCGCTCCACTGGCTACAGTTCTTTGACGAGAGAGAGCTGGAGCTGATGCTGTGCGGCATGCAGGAGCTCCACGTTGGGGAGTGGGAGAAACACACCGTCTACCGAAACTACACCAGGAACAGCAAGCAGATTGTGTGGTTCTGGCAGGTTTGACTGGCCAGAGTGGCAGACTGAGAAGACT